AAAAAAAAAAAAAAAAAAAAAAAAAAAAAAAAAAAAAAAAGAGTGGGATAGAGGAGCGACAGCTGCTGCCTGAAGATGGCAGGGCTGGCACCAGAGGCAGGTCATTGAAAAGGAAGCACCACTAGGCCTCTCCTGAAAGGTTTAGCTAGCTTCTGACTGTCCAGGATCTCCTCACCCAAATCTGGGGTTTCTTCTGAAACCCATAGGACTCTTGAGCTAAAGGGCTAAGACTCAGTCACTGGCTGGATTGGGTGACCGATGCAGCAGGTCTGAGAGGGTGGGTGGGGATTGTGGGGGGCTGTCAGCGTCTTTCAGGTGGGGCCCACCAGGTCTGCGGAGCCATGTGCTTGTGGATATGTAGCATTCAACCACTGGAGGAGTTGAAGTACTTTCTGGAGTAGACAGCTTGTCTGCTGAAGGGACATGTCCCTGTCAGTGCCTGAGGACATGGGCCTGAGCAAGGTGCTGGAGGTGAAAATGAGCAGGCCTGTGGTGGTGGTCACTGGACCCTTGTCCCACCTGGCAGCGTTCTTTAACAGAAGCTCTTGTCTCAGTAAGGCAGGATTCCCCACAGTGCAGCCTTGGACCACCTGTCCCACCTGGCAGCATTCTTTAACAGAAGCTCTTGTCTCAGTAAGGCAGGATTCCCCACAGTGCAGCCTTGGACCACTTCATCAAGATCCTCTGGGAAGTTTGTTAAAATGTACCTTCCTGGGCCCCACCCCAGCTTTCTGAATTAGAATCTTAGCTAAGAGACAAGAGCCAGAAGTCTGTATTTAAACACACTTGCCAGGTGACTGCTGGGGATTCACTGCTCTTAGGGCCTTTCCTCTGTGAGGTGTTTGAACTTTTCATCCTCCTTGCCCTATACCATCTCCCCCTCCACCCCAAACTTCCAAAGGGCACCCTGGCTCTGCTGTTTGGAGAGGGCTCCTGCCCGTGTTCTTTTTCCTGATGCCCACATGCATGTCTGCTTCCTCGGTGACATCCCTGGCACACCCATGGATTCCTGCCTGTGGGGGATGCCCTTTTGGCTGCCCATTCTGAGCCCCCTGAAGAGGGGAGAAGACTGGTTAAGCAGCCTTTGCTCTAAACTCTTCCTGGTCAGCATTCAGCTCAGGCTTCTGCCAAACTCTAGAGGCCAGAGGGGAATGACACATTTTTTCCCAGTCAGCAAATGGAGCTGGGACTGACGGCTGGGCGGCCACCATTTCGTTCTCAGAGATCTGCTGCCTTCAGCAGTGTAGCAGACCCAAGGTCGGAAGGACTCAGGGGCAGTCTGGCTTGAAAGCCAGTCACGCACTGCTCTCTTTGGAGTGGAATGCGCGGGTCTGCGGAGCCTTGGGAGACTGCAGGATGAGCTGGAGGAGCAGGGTGGGGAGAAGGGGCAGATTCTACACTGAGCTTCCTGCTTGGGGCTAAAAGGCTATGCTGTTCTGGCTCCCCCTGGAGGCTGGCTAGGACCCTGGGTCCTTGTCTGTATTCTAACTAGGAGGCAGGCCGGGCAGGCCCTCAGGGATTATGGGAACTGATTCCATGTTCAAACTTTGTATTTTTGTTTGATTGGTTGGTTGGTTATGCTGGTATAAAACTCCAAAGCCTTCCCAAAGTTTGGGACTCAGTTTTTCTGCTAGAGGAAATTCTACAGTAGCCTCTAGGTGGGGCCAGAGGCACACTAAGCTGAGGTTTTAGTAATTTAAATGAGGGGGCAATAGGAACTGGGAGGAGAGAAACAGGCATAGAGTTTTTTAGCTGCTCTGTACCTTCTCTGCAAAGCCGGTTTTCACTTTATGTCCAGACTCTTAGGCATGTATTAAACCATGGATGTTAGGAGGAGCATGCCCCCAGAGTTGAGCTGACTGTAGCAAGGGCACCCTTTGGCCCTCCTGTCTATCCTAGACTGAATCTGTGTGGTTGCTGATTGCAGCACACGTTGTGTTGGGTCTCCAGAGCTTGTGTCTGGGCTGCTCCCCACACCTACCCCCTTCCACCTTGGAACAGTGAGCAGCAGTTTTGCAGCCCCTAGTCGGTGAGTGAGAGACCCGGCTTAGCTTACCTGGACCCTGGGGCTCAGAGACCTGGAGGCTTGCGTGGAGTTCTGTGTTCTTTGGTCAGGAAGGAGGCGATGTTGCCTCTGGAGACCTGGGGATCACTAGGGATTGGTGCAACTAGGGAATTAAATGAAGCGTCAAGAAGTTGGGAATAGAACCAGGCTGCTCTCCCCAGGTCTCATTCCAGGACTGCCCTAGTAGCCCCAGGCTTCTGGATGAGGGATCCCACCTTGTAAAGCTTCTGCTGCTTTGGGAAATGCAGCCCTGGTGCCTTTAAGAGCCCAAGGCAGGCAGGAAAAGAATTTCAGTTTCAATCTGGCTTCTAAATTTGGAGTTTTGGGAAGGGAGGGATCAGATTTCAGCTGGAAGGGAAGGAGCTGACAGGAAGGCGCTGTGCAGAGCCTCCCCAACCCCCCGCCCATCCCCCTCAGTTACTGACAGAGGAACCATTTACAAAAGGCCGATTCTCTGGGGAGTGGAGAGGCAGGAACGCAGCGTCTGTGAGTAATTTCCTGCTCAATATGGCTGCTCTGACTCACACGATTCCCCTGGGGTCACTGCGGGACTGCAGCTTGCTCGCTCGTTCTTGCTCTTTCTCTTCTCCCTTTGTGGCTAGAATGAGCTAATTTTTTTTTTTGTCTTCTTACCCCTGATTCCCTTTTCCCCTCTCATCTGTTTTCCTTTCCCAGAGTTGCAGTCTCCTTGCAAAAGACTTCAGGAGACCTTGGAGCTTGAAGGCCTGGGGGTGGGGGTGCAACCCCTCAAGAGAAACAGAATCTCTGGCCTTACCACCAGTGGGGGCCCAGGGCCACTGGGGCTCTGAGCAACGGGCCTCACCCCAGCTCTGCCAGCAGGCAAGAGGCCTTTTGGGAACCTGTCCAGTGCCCTTGGTTGGAGAGGCTAGCCCTGGAAGCAGAGCCTCTGGTTTCCCAGTATCTATCTGCCTGCCTTTGCCTTGGAGCCCTTGGTGAGCAGGCCCTGGAGCTGCTGCTGTCACACAAAGCCAGCAGGGTGTCTCCTGGGTGGTTTGCTCACAGGGCCTTGTCAAGAGAGAAAGAAACCGGTTCCATGGCTCCAGTGATCTCTGAGCTTCCCAGGGGCCTGGAAGGCAGCACAGGGCTGGAGCCTGCAGAGCCCAGGGAAGGGGTGGGGTGAAGGGCAGGGGGAGAGTTTGGGAGTAGAGTCTGATTGAGTGGGACAGTTGAAACAAAGCTCAGTAAAAGTGAGGCCTCTGTGGGCTGGGGGCAGAGGAGGGAGCCTTGGATGATTCTGGGTGAAGGGAATGGCCCAGGAAAAGTCCTGTAGGGACCAGGGTGGGTTTTGTCTGTTTAGTGCCATGTGCTCTGGCCTGCTGCTGGAGAGTCTGGGAGAGGAGGGGAAGGAGGAGTCTGTTGTCCTTGCTACTGAACCTGGGTGTTGGGATGGGCTTCTTGAGGACTTGGGCCAGGGGAGAGAGGTGACAGGGATAAAATGGTGGCTTTTTAAATTTAAATCTTAAAAGCATGTTGGAGTTGCCCTTACTGTAGAGGTAAGAGTCCTGAAGGAGTGGGTCACCTGGCAGCAGCCCACAGCTGAAGGGTGGAGTCCCTCTGTGCTCCTGAGGGCCTTTGTGGTTATGATTCCCCAATATGGAGAGAGCTTCAGGTTTATCCTTTCTCCCTGGGACAGCCCAGTCCACTGTCACTCTCCCGCCCTCACCTCATGCCCCCATGTGCAGCTTGTTCTGGAAACTTCAACTCACTTAGGGTCCAAATCTGTGCTTCTTTGCCAGACTCGGCCTCTTTGCTTTTCAGTCTTCTGCAGCCTGGGGCCCAGGGTGCTGAGCCCTGTTCACCCAGCATGTACACACTGGGGGAACATTGAGGGGATTGTGAGCAGCTTGGTTAATAAATGCAGATGTGTTGGCCTCTTGGTGTCCGAGGGATATACTCAGGCACGCAAGCTTTTCTCTCTCAGTGCTGTGGTTTCTGATGTCATGGGAACTTCACTGGGCTTGCTGCAGAATTTTTCTCTTCCTTTCTGGAGAGTTAGGCTCCTCGGCAATAGGAGGGGCCAGGAGTGGAGCTGTCCTTGCTCCTTCCTGTTCTTGCTGTCATGGTTGCCATCCGTTCCTCACCTACTGGCCGGGCCAGGCTGGTTTTCTAAATAGACCTTCCTTCTGAATCTGCTGCAGGCGCCCTCTGCCTCATGTCATGCCCTCTCTTCTTTGCCTCTGCCTGTTGTGCAGGTCATGCCTGGGTTTGGTCATACTACCTTGGCCTTCCCCAAACTGACCCTTTCCTCTGTTCTTCTAGCTCTGCCTGTGGCAAGTGCAGACCAAGTGCCCTATGGGGTGGTGGTGGGGGAGGGGTCAGAGGAAAGGGGTGTGCCTGGAGTGTTGGGGTCCAGGCTGCTGCTGCTGTTTATCTAAATGGGAAAGAGTCCTTGAGCTGGAGAGATGCTCTGTGCCTCTGAGGGAGTTGGCGGGAGCCTCACCAGGAGCTTGGGTAGAGATTTTATTTTTCTGTGGCTGCTGGATTTTCTGGGTGGTAGGAATTAGGCCCCTTTTCTTGGCTGTGGGAGAAAGAGGGGTGACTGGTGGGGTGGTTCAGGGAGGTTATATTTTCCCAGCAAGCCTTAAAGCCAAGGGAATCCCCATCTCTGACATTTATGTATGCTTGTTTGTGTGTGTGCCCCACTGGCAGTTGCTGTGGCTTGGTCCTTAAGTGCACACCTGTGTGTGTGAGTGTGACCATGCTGCAGGCGAGCAGGAATGAGCTCCTAGGCAGCCACCACCTCTCCAGCTTGTGGACTTTCTTTTCCAGATGAAGACGGGCCCGTTTGCAGAGCACTCCAACCAGCTATGGAACATCAGTGCTGTCCCCTCCTGGTCCAAAGTGAACCAGGGTCTCATCCGCATGTATAAGGCTGAGGTGAGTGGGGGCTGGCCAGCGTGCCCTCCCCTGCTGCCACACTTGGTCTTGGGGCTGGGGACAAAGCAGAAGATGTGGGTCCTGGGGCTGCTGCTCCCCCCTACCCCACTGTTTTGCTCTGAGTCTTAGGCGTACCCCTCTGACACTTGGGACCTCCAAATGAATCTCCTGTCTGGGGCATGGGTAGTCAGAAAAGCACTGGACTGAGCCCAGCTCCATCCTGATTAGCTTGGAGGCTGAGGCAAGACTGCAAGAGGGGAAGGATGACTCTCTTCCCACCTGTTGATGGCCAAAGGCCCCTCATATCTCAGGCAGCCTGTATCTGTCTCTCCCATGGAAACATGAAATGAAAGCATACTTGGGAAGTTTTAGCCTTTGGAGGCATCATCCAAAATGGTGCTCTCAAACTTCAATGTGTATGATCGCTGGGTGGATGGGAAGGAGGGCTGGGGGGACGCTGGGGACTGGCGGTTTTAGTGACCACTTTGGGTGATTTTGATGCAAGTGGTCTCTGCACTCAGATCAGAGAGGCTGGGAGAGGCTGTGGTTTCCTGGAGCTCCCCCTGCTGGGATGCAGCTGCCCTTCAGCTTCAAAGGGTGTCTCCTATCCCCTCCTCTTCCTTGGCACTATTCTCCCAGCCAAGGAGGTGGCTTTTTCTCTTGCAAATAGGGAGGAGACATTTTCTTTCTACTCTATCTCTTCCACTAGCTCCTCCCATACCTTGGACAGACTAATCCTGGAACTGTTTGACCTTGGCCAGGGAAGGGTCTGGATGTGAAGTCCTTTACTTGGAGCCATGGGTCACCAAAGTCCCTTATTTTTATCCTCTGGCTGGTCCTGGCAACTCATTCATGGTCTCGGATATTGTCCTGTCAGTGCCTGTCTCTTGACTCTTGGCCATCCTTCTCTTCTGGGAGGGGTGCTCCAGGTCTGCTTCATTATACCCAGAGCCTGCTTGACTCTATAAGCAGAGGTGGGACAATGAGGAAGGGTGTTAGAGGGCTAGCATGATCTGGTAGTGCAAATGCTTCCAGTTGGCCTGGCTCCCTTGGCCTGGCCCTGAAGGGGTTAATGGTGCTTGAACTGACCCGGTCTGGTCCCTTCTCCCTTCCGCCCCCTCCCTCTCTGGGTCCCCTTCCTCTGGACTTCACATCCTGTGTTTAGGTTCCAGCCCACATACCTCTCTAGTCTGAGAGGCGAGTTTGCTGGGGCTGCCCAGGCTCCTTCCGGCTGCAGCCGCCTGCCCGCCCGCCTGGGCTCTCCACTCCTGCTCTCCCCAGCCTGGAGAGCATCCAGGTCACTGCCCTCTGGTGTCCTGTTGTTCCTGATAGCTCCCGCCAGTCCCACAGTGGGTTCTTCTGGGGAACTTTGTCACACTGCTAAGTCCTCTCAACTGTTGGGGGCTATCTCTGCATGTGAAGGGTGCACCGCTCACCTCCAGCCTGCCCCCCACCCCTACTCCTGTGTGTCGAAGACAGGCCTCTGGCTGCCTTTCTGCTTGGAATTTTAAATACCGTCCTTTCTGTAGGTCTCTTAATTTGAGTAACTCTAAACTTATCTTGACCCAGGTGCTCTAAGGGCAGAATAAGAGACCTTGTCCCCCTGCCCCAGATGCAGAAAAACTCCAGGCTGACAGAGGATGAGGGAGGAGCAAATTAAGCTTCAAAAGGGTGATGGCGCAGCAAGAACATAAGATGCTTGGAATTTTAAATACCGTCCTTTCTGTAGGTCTCTTAATTTGAGTAACTCTAAACTTATCTTGACCCAGGTGCTCTAAGGGCAGAAAAAGAGACCTTGTCCCCCTGCCCCAGATGCAGAAAAACTCCAGGCTGACAGAGGATGAGGGAGGAGCAAATTAAGCTTCAAAAGGGTGATGGCGCAGCAAGAACATAAGAGCCAAGCAGTCCACAGTGTAAAAGTTGTCAGTGTTCCTGTGGTTTTTGAACACAGGATGTTGAATGCAAGGACAGCGACTGAAAACTATCACCAACTCAGGACGAGACGCCCTAGTAGATAACAAAGCGTCCTTCCTGCAAATGGGAAATTCCAGCTCTGGGTGCACGCAGGCGCAGTGGAGGCTTGCAGCCCTGCCAGGTGAAGTGCGGGGCCAGACTTCTTTGTAGGGTGACTTGGAAACTCAACTCACTGACTTTAGTTTAAGAACACCAGGTTTTTGAAATGCTCAGCAATCACTGATGAGCTACTAGCAAGTAGTCCTTAGTCTTTGGTCTTGGAGTGTCCATGGGACTACATGCTCCCTCCCCAGAGGTCCAAGGAAAGGTCTTGCCTTTTCAGACCAGTTCTCAGTCCATAGGAAGGACCTTAGAGGCCCACCATTCTTGAAATCTAAAAAGGCGTTAGCAAGGCCTGGGCAATCAGCCAAAGTTGCCTGTTGGAGGAGAGTTGGCGTCACAGAAGCCTGAAAGCCTGATCAGGCCTGGTATTAGGTGGCCTCAGGGTTTTTTTGTGGCTGGCAAGTAGAGGGATCTGAACTCTTGACCTTGGTGTTACCAACACCATGCTCTTAACCAACTGGGCTCGTTTGTTTGGGTTTTTTTGTGGCTGGCCAGTAGAGGGATCTGAACTCTTGACCTTGGTGTTACCAACACCATGCTCTTAACCAACTGGGCTAACTGGCCAGCCCGGCCTCAGGATTTTGGGCCAACTCCGCATCTCCTAGATGCCTGTCCAGGCCTTTCTGAACTGAAGAACCAAGTGCTTTCAGGAGACTTGTGTGGTGGCAGGGCCCATTTTTCCTGAGGACCGTCACTACGCTGGTGCTAAGTGTCAGAAGGGCCCTGGTTAAGGCCTGGAGAATCCTTTCTTCCCCTTGAATCACTGGGACCTCCGAGGGAAGCTGCTGCTCTGTCCACTACACACTGGGGCCCCTGGGGCACAGTTAGCTGCATGGCCCTGTTGGGAGAGTGACCTGACCAGTGGCTCCTTTCTTCCTGAATCTTTGACTTCCTTTACCCAAGCAGCCTCTTGCCTTTAGCCCAGCTCCTGCCTCTCCTGTGACTTTGTGGTCCTGGTCCTGTGGACAAAGGGAGAGAACTTCTGCCCCTGCTCCCTCTTACCTTTGCAGCTCCTCTTGTATGAGAGCTAGAAACAAGTTGACCTTTGACCCTTTCTGGAATTCCAGGGTCCTGGAGGGGGCCCTTTACAAATTCCCACCACTTCCGCGATGACATAAGCACCTTGGCAGCTGCCTTTGCCTCTGGCCTGGATCTGCTGCTGCTCCTCCTCTCCCTCAGGGACCACCCCTAGCTGCCTGCTCCCCACTTTCTCGGCAGCCTTGGAGCCTGGCTGTGGCATGGGGCTCTGCTCCCACCTGAGCTTAGTCCTTGGCCTTCTTTCACTGCCCTCCTGGCCCCTCTTTTGGCTTTGTGGACTCTTCCCTTCCCCGATTACCACACCTCTCTCTGTGTGCCTCTCCCTCCTTGTTTCTGCAGCTGGCTTTTGAGGTGAGGGAACCTGGGCCAATCATGGCAGCCCTTTGTCCTTCTAAGTTGGAGGTTGAGACCACAGCCACAGAATGAGGCTCTCTCCAATCTGAGGCCATGTTCCACTCCAGCCAGGAGGTGCCCAGCACACTCTGGTTGTTTCTGTGGGCAAAGGTGTGGGAGGAGGCCCTGGGCCAGCTTGGCAGACCTGATCCTAACACACCCAGAGCTGCTGATGCCTGTAAGAGCTAGCTAGTGACCAGGGCCAATGTGGTAGGTACAGGAGGGTGGGTGCAGGGAGGCTGGATGCTGGGGCCCGGATCGGGCCAGGGCAGAGGGCTGTAGGCCTGGGCTTGAGCTGCCTGTAGACCAGGCCAGCCTCTGTGGCAGGCAGGTCCTGTGGATTTCTCCATCTTCCCTCCTCTGCTAACATCCTGGGCTGGCTGTGCTGGGCTCAAAGAGTCAGCCATCCTCCTGTTCAGGGCTCTTTTTCCCTGCCCCCCACACAGGGCTGCTGGGAATTGCTTAGGGGGAGGGGGATGTCAGCTGGTTCTTATTGTCTTACTCTGAAGTGCCAAGATGCCTTTTTCAATCCAGAGAACTGAACACTGGAGAAAACCGGCCTTGGCCTCTTCTCAGGCTTGTGTTCAAATGTCCGCATCTCTTCTCCATGACCAGGACCTGGGCTAGGGGTATCCCCAATGATCAGGAGGGTTCTTTTCAGTTCTAGTCCCCAACCTCCCCTTCTGGGCCAAGTGATGTCATTTGGCTGCCTCTCTTCTTGGCTTCTGCTTTGTGTTGCTGGACTGCCTTCTCTCCCTCTCTCCCTCTCTTTGGGGTTGGACTGTCTTCTTTCTCTTTCTCTCCCTCTCTCATTATTTGGTGGGTCTGATTGTTGTGGAGTGGGGGTCTTTGGATGGGAGGTGGTAAGGAAGCCTCACCTTTTCCTGAAGGCCTGGGGACTGCTCAGACTGGGCCACTTCCTGGACCTTGGCTGGACACCTCCTGGGAGGTGCTGTCGTCTGAGCCTCTGTAGTTGGTGGGGTCCTTGGTGGGGGTGCAGCACAGCCTCATGCCCGCTCTTCCCCGTCCTTCCTCACAGTGCCTGGAGAAGTTCCCTGTGATCCAGCACTTCAAGTTCGGGAGTCTGCTGCCCATCCATCCTGTCACGTCGGGCTAGGAGGGGCTGAGTAGCCAGAGCCACCCCGGCTGCAGTTCCTGTGCCTGCCCCCCCACTCCAGCACGGTCCTGCCTGCCCCCCCCCCCCCCCCCCCCCCTTTTTTTTTTTTTTTTGTTGTTTTTTTGTGGGGGGGGGGGGGGGGGGGGGGGGGGGGGGGGGGGGGGG